GGAAGAGCGCTGTATACATGAAAAAAATCATTAAACTGAGTAGGAGCCAAAATGAAGAAGCACGGAACAGACCTTTCCATCCATGGCAACTGCTTATTGTTATTTCTTCCAGGATCAAGGAGATGAAGTCACAAATCATTTGTTTACACAGAACAGCTCCAGTCAGTATAATTAAATCCATTTCAGTATACAAGCATCACTGCAAAACCACCCATTTTTCTTCTAGAACCGCATTCTTGGTTTCAGAGAGTTTGCGTTTCTTTTGGGTTTTTTTAATGTACTCTCAAATTACTTCTTATGAAACTATTGGAAAAAAGCTTTTTATATGTAATGAGAGAGCTCACTAGGCTGAGCTATACCAGCATAATCATAATGAATTAAATCCCCCATCTTCCCCCACACCGATACTACACTTAAGCCCTTAAGACACCCGAGAGCCATCTAAATGGCCAAATCCCACAAAACAAGTATCTAGCCAAAATTACCTCACCTCCAAAAAAATGTGCAACCATATGGGGAAGAAATATGCTCAATAAGCCATTCAGCTACTGCTCAAATAGACAGCAGCCAACAAGAAGCTACTGTAGCTTATCAGAGGCTCCTTTTACAACGTGGGTGTTACGCTTTATTATTACCAATTTTCAGCAGCTGATGAGAGACTGAAATTGAAAATAAAAATCAATATCCAAAAAAATTGCCTTTTTTCTGCTAAAATTAGGCTACACACAGGTTTTTTTTAGCTCTATTACGTGTAGCCTCTATTATACACCTAGATTGTAGACTTTGAGCTATTTCATCATCAAGGTTGTCTGCTCAGTACAAAATTACCAATATATCCGTGATTTATGAAACTGTTTACGCACTTTTTTCAAAGACAATACAGTAGTCTGATCCAAGACTACATAAATCTTGAGAGTATTTTCAAGAGCGCCTGTCATAAATAATTAAAACTAACCTCATCAAGCTAACAGTGTTGTAAGATCTTTCACACACTCCTTTCAAGATGCTGACATTCACTGTAAGTGCACTCACCTAGAGTGGGAAATCAGCTGGTTCGATCTCTCTGGCTCTTTAGAAACGAGTTTTTTCAGATGGGTGAGAATCATACAGGCTTTGTTTTGCTTCCTTAATATACGCACAGAAGGAAGAAAACCAGTTTTTCCCTTTTCGTATCATGGAGGACCTTAACTATTAATCAGAAATATTCTACATTAATCAGAAAGAACCTACTAAGGGCAGCTCTCGGATTAAAATCAATTGCATCTCCAGCACAAACACGACTTCAAAAGTCATCACTATTTTAAATAGCTGGTTAATAAACCTACTTCCATTATGATACAGTCTCATTACACTAATGCTCTTTTCAAAACCAAAGTAAATTTCCAAAGACAAAACATCTTGTGAACAAAAGCTTATGATGAAGAGGGTGAAAATAATAATAGTAAAAGAAAAATCAATGAAGTGACATAAGAATTACTAAGGAAACCTACTTTGCTTTATTTTCCCCTCCCAAACGTCTGCTGAAACCGAAGTCATAACATCTTACAGACATGTCTTCAAAGAAAGGTCAAGAATATCATTTTGGCCAAGAGTTAAATACAGAAACTCAGATTTATCAGCAACAATGACAATCCACAGGAGATTTTCCCGTTGTTCTTATACTAAAAGAAAACCAACGCTAGCTTAAATCTGCTACAGCAAAAGGAGACCACGCTTGCTCATCACTTAATACGCAGCAATAGGCTGGGACCACAGAAAGTTCATAATCCAAGTAAGCATCACTACTGAGGCCAAATTCCCATCCAAATCGTCACACACTGAGGAACAGTTCCCCCGGCAAGCCCACCCTCAGCCGCTATCTCTGCTGCAACCACAGCGAACAACATGCCATACAACTGCTTCTCTGAGCTACCTTCCCTGAGCACAAGAGCGACGCGATTGCTCTTTCCTTCCTTTTTTGGTTTAAGCCTCCTTGGAATAAAGAGCTCTCCTGTGCTCAAGGGTCACAGGTGAATGACGCCTGAACCCAGGGGAAGCAAACGCAGAGGAGTGAATGCTCAGCACCTAACCCTTCTTACTCTGACCACAAGCAGTTTGCTAGAGATCCAAACATTACGTAGCAAGGGAACTAGAATACAACTTCTGCAAAGTGAAGCATGCTGTACAACTTCAGAGCTATAAGCATTTGCTCAGAAGACAGAATGAAACAGACTTATTCAGGGGCGGAAAAGGGCAGAATTAAACCAGAAAGAAGAGATCTGCGGACTGATGCCTGTCACGTGTAACTCCATACATAAATGAAAGCCGAGACTAAAGAAGACCTTGCAAGTAAGGCATACACCAGCGTTCCCATCACAAGTCCACACGCAAAGCTCCCTTTTCTCCTTTCATCAGGAGTCTTTTTCAAAGCTACCGCGACTATTTTGTTTCCAAGTGCTGTCATGTGATTATTTATTTTTAAAAAAGCAACTAAAACTTCTCTACAGTCTGTCAACTTGAATCATTTCACAAGCAGGTCTACACATTTCACACCACACAAGTTAACTTTTAAGTTCTTCCAAAGGCATTTCTCTGAGAATATTTGTGTAGCAACTTAAAGACTGAAAGTTTTATCTATTTTATAGATACATACAAGCTTTGAGATCTTGAAGTTCTGCTTTGTTTAAAAACTCTATTACATTATGTTTATGGGTTTTAAAGCTTGTATGAGTTTGTTAGGCGAGTTTAATTTTTCATAAATGTATCTGTGCTCAGTTTTAGGAGTTCTCCCAGAAGTAATACAAATTGCACTCCAGTTTAAGCGGTACTTCTTACCCGGTATCTATCATCAAAGATTTCTAACTGCTAAAACATACCTAGCACCGAGATCACCCACAAGCTGCTACTGCATGGTTT